GAGAGGGGGACAGGTCCTTGGTGGTGATGCAGGACTTGGACATGTGGGCTGGTTTTCTGGTCACAAGGAGCCGCCTCTGTGAGGTCCTCTAGTCTCTTTTCATGGACAGTGGGAGTCAGAGAGGGCCAGGGACACTACTCCAATTTATCACAGCCCAGAGGTACTCTGGTTAGTATGTTATTATTATTATTACTATTGTTATTGTCATTGGTATTTTCCTGGCTACTATTTACTCAGGTAAATATTCTAAAAGGGACATATTGTATTCTTTTGACTCCCTTTCTGTCCTATTGTATCAGACAGACCATTCCTGGAATCACCAGGAGATTGCACCTGGGGCAGATCATTGAATTGCAGGTAATTGAATTAGATAGATGGGGAGTATGGGCTCAGTAGAGCAAGATGGTGAGAATGGCTCTCATATTACAATGAAGGCCATTTGCTCCGGAGCTGGAATATTCCCTGGCACCTGGGCGGGGCTCAGGGAATGCGTGTAGAGTGAATCAATGGGCGCATGCATGCACAGGGGACCTCTCTATAACCGAGTCACTTTGTTTTTCAAACCACGAAGGCAGGGACCGATATTCTGATGTATGATCGTCTCTCCCTTTGCTCTAGCAGGATCCTGGACTGGAAGTAGAACCTCAGTAAATATATTGTAGACTTACACTGAGTGATGCACAGTGAGAGTGGCACCACTATCCACAATTCACCGGTGAGGTACCCTGAGGATCCTGCTCATGTCCTGACTGCTCCATGCCTAGAGAAGACCAGAGAGAAAATGAAAAAGTCTTAGCCATGGAACTTCATTTCTAATTGTCTAGGTGACCTTAGTCAGGCACATTATTTTTGCCATCAGTTTTATCATCAGCAAAAGGAAGGTCTAGGACGGTGATGGTGAACCTATGACACGCGTGTCAGAGGTGACACACGAACTCATTTTTTTGGTTGATTTTTCTTTGTTAAATGGCATTTAAATATATAAAATAAATATCAAAAATATAAATCTTTGTTTTACTATGGTTGCAAATGTCAAAAAATTTCTATATGTGACCCGGCACCAGAGTTAAGTTAGGGTTTTTCAAAATGCTGACACGCCGAGCTCAAAGGGTTCGCCATCACTGGCCTAGGACAAGCTGATTCTTTTTTAGAGGCCTGTCTTGGCCTTGACACAGGGCTCAGGGGTCCGAGCTGGGATCTGTCGGGACCCTTTCTCTGCCATGGATTAACTGTTTGATTAGCAAAGGCGTGTGGCCCACCCCAGGCCCTACAAGCTGTCAGGGTTGTCTAGACACCCTCAGGTTTGAAATTGCTGAGAATACACCTCAGGGTCAAGGGCATAGGCTTTAGTCAGGACTGATTTCCTGACTGTTAACTAACTAGAACTTGGGCAAGTTGTTAACCTCTCCAGACCTCAGTTTCATCACCTCTAGAATGGGGATAATAATTATACCTACCTCACCAGTTGTGATGAGGATTAAAAGACATTGTTAATACACTTGCCCAAAGACTGGTAAAAGTGTTATAATTTCATCATTATGTCATACAAACTGTGGAAACTGTTTAACCCTCTTCAGCCTAGTGTAGATCGGGTTTTTCTTACCCTCTATCTGTGTGTCTGTCTGTTATAAATACGGTATTTGCCTTCACTTCCTAGCTTCAGGGCTTTGAACAGTCAAGCAGTATCATTAATAGATATTGCATCTATGCTTACCCACAGTTCTCAGGTTTTCATCCCAAATCCTATTATTGTGCTGTAGAAGATAGTTTGGTAGGTGGGATAGATGGGAGATATGTCCCTCTAACACTTTCATTCTTGGGGAATAATATAGTATTTTTCCTAATAGTTGGATATAGGAAAATACTACTATATATTTACACACACACACACACACACACACACACACACACACACAGTACTTGACAGAATTTCTGAATCAGCAGGCACAACCAGACATTTTTCTGAGAGACTAAACTTGAATCTGATTTCTCTGGGAAGCCAATAGATTGATCCTCATTTCTGAAATATTTCCTCCACCACAGATAACCTTGCTGAGGAACCTGGGGACATTAAGTGCCCTGTATTTTGAACCAAGGGAGGTCTTAGCCTAGTACAGTGATGGCAAACCTATGACACGCGTGTCAGAGGTGACATGCGAACTCATTTTTTTGGTTGATTTTTCTTTGTTAAATGGCATTTAAATATATAAAATAAATATCAAAAATATAAATCTTTGTTTTACTATGGTTGCAAATATCAAAAAATTTCTATATGTGGCACGGCACCAGAGTTAAGTTAGGGTTTTTCAAAATGCTGACACGCCGAGCTCAAAGGGTTCGCCATCACTGGCCTAGTAGATACTTCATCTTTTGAAGGATTCAAAAGAGGTAGAAGATTTGGTCCCTGCCCCAAGAAGCAAACAACTTGGCTGGGGAGACAAGATGTGCATAAGTCAAATCACTTGAGAAAGATGTATTTAAAATATATTAAAAAACAACAAAAAAAATCCAGCTCCCATTTCTAGATTTCAAGATGGTCAATATTGAGTATCCAAGGACAACATCACAGAGGAGATAGGGGTTGTGTGCACCTTGAAGAAGGGAAAGATTGGAATTGGCAAATGAGAGTGACAGAGAGGGCTTCACGGCCCTGGGAATAATCAAGGTGTGGCCCTGGAGGCAGAAGTTTTTTTGTGAGATCCCAGTGTGCCTACATTGTGAACAGGCAGATGCAGAGCTTCTGGGAAGGGGTGGGGGAGGCAGAGGAAGGAATTGGTCTTCTAGAGCAGGTGTAGGCCTGAGATGGCTGGTGGGGAGGGCAGGGCAGCCCTCGCTGTGAAGGGGTTGTCTGTAATCTTTTCTGCCCCATATTGACTGTTTAATTGGCAGAGGCATGAACCCAGGCTTTTAATTGTAGAATCCTGGGACTGTTGGCTGTAGATTTGAGGCTTCTGTGTTTAGGGCTGATCATCATTAGCATGCGTGTGAGTTTCCTGTGGCCACTGTCATACATTACCGCAAATTTAGTGGCTTAAAACAACAGAAATGTATTCTCCCACCGCCATGGTGGCTACAAGTCTGAAATCAAGGTAGGGGGAGGGCGTGCTCCCTCTGGAGGCTTTCAGGAGGAGTGTTCTTTGCCTCTTCCAACTTCTGCCGGCTGCTGGCTTCCTTGGCTTGTAGCCGCATCACTTCTGTCTCTGCTTCTGTCTTTACATCACCTTCTCCTCTGTGTTTCTTCTCTGCTGTGGTGGTTGTTGTTTTTTTGAGTCCTCAACCAAAGATATGTTTTTATTGATTTGAGAGTGAGAGAGAGAGAGAGAGAGAGAAGGGGAGGGAGAGAGAGAAACATCAATGTGAGAAAGAAACATTGATCAGTTGCCTCCTGGACATAACCCAACTGGGGATTGAACCCGCAACCTTTTGATGTATATGGGCCTGCTCCAACCAACTGAATCATCTAGCCAGGCCTCTGCTGTTTTTTGTTTTGTTTTGTAATTTTTATTATTTTTTAATTGAATTTATTGGGTTGGCATTGGTTAATAAAATGATACACGTTTCAAGTGTTCTATAATCTGCTGTTTTTTTATAAGGATACTTGCCATCAGATTTAGGGCTAACCTAGGTAATCTAGGGCAATTTCATCCCAAGACACATAACTCGATTACATCTGCAAAAACTCTCTTTCCAAATAAGTGACATTCACAGGTTCCAGGGATTAGGGTGCAGACGTATCTTTTGGGGGGGCCACCATTTAGCCCATTAGAACATGCTTTCTAAGGAGGGAGCATGAAGGAAGGAGACAGAGCGCCCCAAGGGGAGAAGGCACCATGAGGCACGGCTGGGTCCTCTGGTGGAGAGGCACACGCCTGTGGCCTGTCACGTGACTCTTACCTGTCAAACTCTACCTGAGTAGGCACATGTGCTAAGCACTCTGCTCAGCACTTGTGCTGGTATAATAATTATGATCATATGTATTATTCCTTTTAGCTTCACAGCTGACATAATAATTCTAATAACACATTTCCTGTTAGCTTCACAGCCAGGGTATGAGGAAGGCCTTATCCTCCTGCCTTACAGATAAGGGAACAGGAGGTGCCTGAGAACATAGGGCCGAGCGACACGCAGGGGAGCTGCTCTGAGCCACTTCGCCCCTCCCAGTCCTGTGCTCTCCCACCGCGCTTGTCTGCATTCGTCAGCTTTGGTTGTCCCCAGTGGTCACTCTCTCTGGCTGTCACTCATCCTTAATACAAACAGATGTTCCTGGGAGCAGCATCCTGAAAGGCTGGTGGAGGTGGCTGAGCGGCACCTGCGAGTTAGAGCTCACATGACGCTGGCAGCCGAGCAGGGAGGTTGAGTTCACTGGTTTCAGAGCCCTGGCTGCGCCTCTGACTGCCGGGTGACCCTGCACCAGTCCTTTCAGCTCTCTGTGTCTTGGTTCCCTCACCTGTAAGTGGGGACCACAATAGGACTTACCTTGGGTGTTTCGAATGAGGAGTAAATGCGTATATGCGTGTGTGTAAATATATATTACGTGTCAAGTGATCACAATGGTTCTTAGTGCACAGTGAGTGCTATGTGCTGTTTACTTAAAAAACAAACCCGCCCAAGAGCAGCAGACAGCATGTGTTCGGTTCCCGTGGGGCCTGCATCTGTGACTCGCTGGGCAGGGGCTACGTGATACAGCCCCCTTAGTGAGGACAGAGAGCCCTTGGGACATATCACAGCAGTAAGATACCAGGCTGTGCTGAGCATTCAGCTTCGAATGGAGTCCCTTCTCAACGGCTGGTGCCGCCTGTGTCCTGGCCAAGGGGCTCTGGACCCCGTATCACACTTGGGTACTTCGTGGGCACCACGGCGTCGTAACCGGAGGGTGCAAAGCTGCCTGCCACTGTGACCTCGGCCGTTTCTCGGCCCTTTCTCGCAGCCCTGAGCTTGAGTGGGATCGTGAGGTTGTGACCACGCAGAACACACTCACAGCCTGTTCTTTCTCCTCACAGGGCGATGCTGCTACCAGCTTTCTCAGGGCAGCAAGATCAGGGAACTTGGATAAAGCTTTGGATTACCTGCAGAATGGGGTAGACATCAACACCTGTAACCAGGTAAGTGGGATGGGGACAGGCACGTGGTCTCTGAAGAGTGGCTCTGGCCTGATGCCACTCCCTGAGAGTTTTAATCCGCTTCTATTAACCTTTTCCCGTGGCCTCAAAAATCCCCCAGGGCTTCCGCCTGCTGAAGGCCCTCGCCTGGCTGCTCACATCCCTGCCCCGGGGCAGGGCCCCACGGAGCAGGGCTGATGCCTGAACAGTGTGGGCTGGCCCCGGGCTCCATCCCCTGCCGCCTCTTCCCTTAGAAGTTGCCACTGGTCCCTGCTGTGGCCTTAGAATATGTGGCTTTTGAAAGTGGGCAGGAGGAAGGGCTTTGAAGGATGTTGAGTCAATGGTGACATTACATCTCCTTTGTCAGCAGCAGCCTTTGAGGATTCTCTGAAGGCTGAGAAGGAAGTAGTGATGCGGTCTCGCCCACAGGCTGTTGACAAAGGCCAGACTGGCTCCGGTTGAGAACCGATGTGGCTTAGACAACTTCTCTGGAGGTTTCTGCTGCTCAGACCCAGAGCCTTGTTTTCTGGAGGGCATGCTGAGGAAACTGAGCCCATGCCGCAGGACTGGCTGGAGGCAGGGTCAGCCCACGTGGAGGAATTGGCGGAATAGAGAGGAAATAGACCCCCAGCATGAGAACAGGGTGCGGCTTGGGCTTGAGGATTGGGTGGCATTTGTTTGTTTTTGCCGATTAAGTTGTCCAGGTGCACGTACTAATGCAGTTTCTAATTTAGAATACGTTTACTCATTGTGACTTTTTTTTTAACCATTTAAACCATATAAAATTGTTTTAAATGATGCTGAAATACACATAACTTAGAATTTACCACCTTAACCATTGTTAGTGCACGGCTGAGTGGCATTAAGTACATTCATATAGTGGTACAACCATCCCCACTCGCCATCCACAGAACTCTTTCATCTTGCAAAACTGAACCTCTGCACCCATTAAGCAGTAGCGCCCCATTCCTGCCTCTCCCCAGCCCCTGGCAACCAGTCTACTGTCTATCTATGAGCCTGACTTCTCTAGGCACCTCATGTAAGTGAGACATGCAGTATTTGTCCTTGTGCGACTGGCTTATTTCAGGTAGCATGATGCCCTCCAGGTTCATCCATGGCGCAGTGGGCTAGGTGACTTTTACAGGCCAGCGGGGAAATGCTGGGAACGCAGGTTCACTTTTCCACTGGG